ATGTCGTGAGATCGAGGCTCACCTAGGGCAGTTGCATTTTTTTTTTAATTCATTCATCCAACTTTTTTTTTCATTTATTTTCGTTGTTTTATTATTTTGCCATTATTTATTAACTAATAGTTATTAACTATTAAAATATTTAATCATAAAAAGCAAAATACATTGATCAATGTAGAAAAAGAACACTTTTGAATGAATTCATTCTCATGAAATTGACTATATCATATCAGAGAATGAAACGAATGTTCAACGAAGTCATTGGCTTTGGGTTGAAATGTTTTTTGTTTGTATTCATTATGCTATTTTATCTTTTGATTTTTTTGCTCTTATGACGAGTCAACAGTATTCGCTGGACACTTGTTGCTCATGAACTCCATACGAAAAGCGATAAAAGTGAGATAAGCTTAAAATAACTCTATCCAATTGACAGTTGCGAACAATTGCTGCTTTTATCACAGAAACTTCGTGATATTTTCTCGCGCAATTTCACATCAAGTGGTTTTGTTCATTCCAAGTGTGTCTTTTCATAGTGAAAGTTCATTTCATCAGAAGACATTTGGGTTAAGCATTTTATTTTTACTTTAATCAAATATTGAATCAACAAATTAATTAAAAACGTGAATTAAAAAAAAACTTATCAGAAAAACGTGAAATTTATTCACAAAATCGGAAGCGCTTCACAATACGTAAAAATTTCTTCAAAATAAATAAATGAACTAAACTAAAATCAGTGGCTTAAAGTAGTGCATCGAGTATTTCTAGGTTCAAATCATCGTAATTATAGTCATAAGCGGGAATATTCACAGTTGCGATCGGACGGCGAATTTTGAAGATTCGAACTTTATTCGGAACATTTGCTCTGCGGCGCATAAACGTTGGAATCTGAGCAAATCTCGAAGCTACTTGAACATTTTCGCCTTGTGGAGTATTTGGTTCAATTCTATCAACGACTGAATGGTCATTTTCCTCCAATTGTGTGAGAATGGCTTCGTTAACTGTTCTGAGGAGTGGGAATTTTCGGTTTTCATTTGTGTCAATGTTCAAATTGACACCTTGTGGTGGTTTGAAGTCTGCGTATGTGTCTTTGTCAACTGAGCAAAGTCCAATAAAATCGTCCATATCAATTGGAAAGACCATAGCGCCAGCCAATTTCTGGCTCACAGCAAACTGAATTTTGCGCACAATTGAACGACCACTTTCGAAGACAATTGTGGAAAGTCGTGGCAAATGAGCGCCAGAGGAGGGTTCCATTCGTTTTGCAATGGCCAGACCTGATTTTGGATCGTAGATTTTTTGCCATCCACTCAATTTTGACAATGCATCACAGACTTCATTGTAGCCCAGCTGACGTCTGAATGTCGTCGCACTGAAACGGCCAAGTCCTTGTATCGATCGAAACAAAAGGCCCGAGAATTGAACTCCCATCACAAGCTTATTCGCAGCAACACCTCGTTCGAGAAGCGAATTGATCATTTGTTCGGTGCTGTTGATTGAACGCTCTTTTATCGCATAGTTGATGATATCCTCTTGTGGCTTCCAATTGAAATTGTACTTTTGCACAAAATGCACGTAGTCCAAGTGGCGAGATATTGCCGGAATGTCAAGCACTTCGGCTATATTTTCCGTTGTCGCAACAAATGTTGATGTCACCGATAGACCGTGCAATTTGAACGTTTTTTTCAAGCGCTTCACAAAACTGTGGATTTGTTCTTTGTCGAAGCGCAAATTGGGATTGGCATAGTCACCGAACGATTGATTCGGTTGCAAGTTAGTGTCGCTGTTGAGTGAGAGAGATAAGGTCAATCAAATTAGATGGAGTTTGAAAATTTCGATTAATTTTGAGAAGAATGTTTCCTGAAAGCTGTTTCTATTGCTTTGAAAAATAGCTCAAAATCCAGCGTTCGATGACAAAAATCAATGAAGCGAAACATTTTCATTCGAATGAAGAATTTTTAAAGGATTCAAATGATGAATTGATCCAATTCAAATGAAAACATGACATTTATAATCGAAAAATATTCAATTCAACCAAAAATTGAAGATTTCAAACGAACCTTATGTCCGAGAACTCCCACATTAAATCCAATCCATCGAATTTATGCTGCAACAGATAGTCTGATGCATCTTTGGCAAAGTCCCAATAACTTGCTGGATCCGTTGCAATTCGCAAGTAATCGACCAAGAAATGCTTAATGGCCAATGAAATCTGGAATAAGTACGAACCAACAACATTTTTTGTCAAAATTCTTCGTTTGATGTAAATTTTTTGATTTTCATTCAATGAATTTTCGTAATTTTACCTTTAAATGTGGATAAGATTCCCGTAAGTTGGTGAACCGCTCATAGTTGGAGGTTTCGAGTGAGTCTCGCCATGGTCCTATTCATGGAGAATAATACAAATACATACATTAGTTCAAGGTTTTTAACAATTTGGTGCATAAAAGTATGAATAAATTGAAAATTGAAACTGTATTCACTGCAATTCCAATAGGATTAGGAATACAATGTTTGTTTTAAAAATATAATCGTTCTTAATCAATTCAAATTGATTGATACTCAATTTTCAGTTCACTTGAATACTTTTTTGCACAATAATGTGTACAGATTCTGCACAACATAACGATAAACGATTTAAAAAGGCTATTTTACCCGTTGTGTATGTTGTAACATCCAGATTGTCTGCATAAATGAGATGCGTGCACAGATTTAAATCTACATCCTCAATTGGAAATTGAGTTCCATTCGAACTTGTTTCATTGGTTGCATAGCATACGATTACTTTGTCATGGGTTGGACCTGTGGTTTTTGGAATGAATCAAGAATTTGATTTTTTACATTTTCACTCTAGTTCCATGTGTTCAACAGATTGAGAAAATCTTGGTGCATTAATTTTTTTCTTTGCTTCCTCAAAAGCAGAGGTCGGAAAGATTCTGCAGTTTTTCGGTCTTTTAAATTCAGTTTGTTTATGAAATAATTCTCACCAGTTTCAGCTGTCGCCAAAGCAATAATAATGCAAAGTGTGAAAATGTCTCTGAAATGCATCGTCCAAACTAGAGATCGTCACCTAAATTTGAAAAGAAATAAAAATGAAATGAGTTTATTTCAATTTGTCTTCACGAAACTTGTTTTCTCTGTTTTTTTCCCTTTTCTTTGGAATTTGTATAGATAAGTTGACCTGAAAATGAACCAAAAAGAAAGAATGACCACTTAATTCATTTCTTGGAATTTTTGGTTGTATATACTCTTTTAAGCCTATTTCTCTACTTGATGTCTGCCGTTCACAAATCATTTTTTCTCATGAAAATCCAAATTTGTTCGTAAAAACTGGAATTTTTGTCCGAAAAAATCTTAAATTTTCTCTTTTCCCTTAATCACCTGACAAAGAAAAGGTTTTATCTATTAACTACACCATTTTCA